GGAGAGAACAAAATAGATGATGAGACCTTCTAAGAATCAAAGCCCTATGCACATCAAAAAACTTCTCCAACAGGGTAAAAGGGAAACACACAGACTGGGGAAAATATTTGCTAATAACCTATCTGATAAGGGACTCTTATCTAAAATGTATAAGATACTCTAGCACTTCAACAAGAAAAAGGTAAACAACCAAATAGCAACATGGGCACAGGATATGAATAGACACTTCACCAAAGACATTCAGATGGCAAACAAACACATGAAGAAATGTTCAAAATCCTTACCTACTAGAGAGATGCAAATAACTACGAAATATCACCTCACCACAGCAACAATAGCAAAGTTCAAGAGAGCAGCAAACAACAAATGTTGGTGAGGTTGTGGAGAGATTATAATACTTATTCACTGCTAGTAGGAATATAAAATGGCGCAACCACTATCTAAGACAGTTTGGATCTTTCTCAAAAATATGAAAATAAATACTATTTGATCCAGCAATTGCACTACTAAGAATATATCCTAAAACAACCAGAACTGTCATTCAAACAGATGTATACACATCTATGCAATACTGTTGCATTATTAACAACAGCAAAGAGAAGAAAACAACCCAGGTGCCTATCAACAAATGAATGGATAGAAAAACTATGGTATATATATTTTTTCCACACAATGGAATACTAGGCAGCACTAAAAAATAGTGAACTCATAAATCATTGTACAACACGGGTGACCGTGGAGGACACTATGGTGAGTGAAAAAAAAAAAAAGACAAATACTGTATAACACTGTATAAACACTGTTATAAAGCAAGACTGACAGACAACTTTGGGAGGAAAATAGGAAAAGAGTGGATAGATAATGAGCACGACATTGGAACAGATGAAGGAAAGAACTGTTTAAAAGGAATATATGATTAGGCATTATATGTATGACAACAGTCCAAAATAAGAGGTACATTGCAAAGAGGACACAGGAGGAAGATGAGCACTCTGTGGTTGGTAGTGAAATGTGTCACAATTTTAATATTTGATTCCATGGCTCATAACAAATTATAGATAACACTGAGAAAAATGAGAATCTCAGAACATTTAATTGTGCTCAAGGGAAACCTATACCTAGAGGAAGAAAATGTTTACACAAAGCAAGGGAACACTGTATGGTTTAAAATAAAAAAAGGTGTACGGAAAGCCTATATTCTTTCTCCATACCCATTCAATCTGTATGCTGAGTAAATCATTCAAGAATCTAGACTTTATGAAGAGAACTGCAATATTAGGATTGGAAGAAGGCTGATCAACAATTTACAGCTACCATGTACAAATAACACTGACGCAGGGGACAACTCCAAGGTAAGCAATTTTAATATGGCACCCCAGAGAATTATCCAACTTGCACAACTATAAGTAGCAGTTATATTTCCCTTTATAATGAACAGAAATATATAGAATGTCATCTATTTTATATAAACTAAAAACAGCTATTAAACAAGGGGTTCTTTATGGTGGCTTCTGAGGAGACACTGAGCTACTCCTGTCATGAAAATTAGAGCAGAAACTCAGACCCTAGATCTTTATCTGAAGATAAAAGAGCTTCAAAAGGGATTAAATGGAGTCTCAGCAGATCTACTATGTGAAATTAATAATTTTGTCATATTCCTTTGTAATTTCAATACTATCAGGACCATTCACTCAAAAGAACAGATTTTAAGTTTCAAGGTCCCACTCTTTGCCCATCAATCTTAACTTTCTGGACTCCCTGAATGCAGAAACAATCCAATCTCCTTTGCTAGAAGATAAACATTTCCCTTAAACAGGGCTTCAAATTAGTTCAAACGAATTCAGGAATGGTCAACAAAGTAAAACTGGAACAGACCTAAACTTTTAGAATTTGGGTGAAGTATAACAATAATCAGGATAGGTAAAATAACTAGTTGAAATTCTGGAAAGGGAGACTCTGGAGAAGCATAGTGAGCCCTTTCAAGAACCTAATTTGAAAGAGTTCTTTCCAGGACTGGAGAACAACACATATTTAAAGCAATGTAGTCAGCCACAGTCTTTAAGTGGGGCATTGTTGTTTCCACCTCTGCAAGTTAAGAGATTTAGTTGCTTTACAATGTATACTCAGCTGTTGTTTTCTAAGAAGGAAATTATGTTTCTAGTAGGATGTTGACCTATAAATTATCCTATTCTGGTGGCCACTCCAGTTCACCCACATTTTACAAATTCAGTACCACCCCTGTTTCACATTATCAGCCATGACTGAACCAGGTGAATCAGTTCTAAGCAAAGCTCTCATCTTTTTTGCAGAGATCCTGCAAAGATTTTATCTAAGGCAGGCTCTTTGTATGATCATGCTTGTGCTTCTTAGAATTCCCACTATTCTCCATCATTTACTGTATGATATCCAGGAATAAGTTTCATGAAGAAGAAAACAGTGTGCTTGCACAACAAAGAAATAGTTTAAACACTTAACCTCAGGACATGAAAATTTATAGTGAAGTATGTGTGAGAATGGATCTAAAGTGTGTTGAAAAGCTGTCAGGGGGTTGATTTTAGGAAATAAAGTCGTTGTTCTTGTTATTGTTAAATGCCTGATGTTAAGTGCCATTGAGTCACCAGAGACTCATAGCAACAGCTCTGAATGCTGCCTTATCCTGAGCCAGTCTCACTGTCCCCAACACAAAATTTCATGTTCTAAAAGACTATTATGAAATCAAGTTAAATAATCTGTTCAAGATGCCTATCACTTATTATCACTGGGTTGGTTCCAACTCACAGTAACCTTCCATCAGGTTCCCAAGGCTGTAAATTATAACACTGATTATTAATTTAGCCATCAGAGATGGAATCTTTAGTGTAACAGCACAACTTGCTACAGAATTTGCAAGCCAAGATTTTTAAGAATCTGTGTAAGTATCTGCCTAGAGTAATTCCAAGTAGCTTGGATATGCTTCTATTAACACTTCTATCAAATGAGGTAGAAATTTTAGACTTGCTTTGGCATTGTATTCAGGGTAGATGGGCATATCAGAACATATTTATTATATGAGACCGCAGAATCCACAATATGCCTTGGAAGATTCAAACTGTTCTTAATTCAGTAAGAAATGCACCAGTGAGATGGCATTTCAGTGATACGTCTGGCTGTCCCAGTATACAAAAAAGAACTGAGTTCTCTAGTACCAATAAAGATGATAGAATTTCATAATGGTAGAGAATACAAAGGACAACAACTCTTTAAGGCACAATTGTAATAGTTACTGTAATGAACAGCAAGGATGGAGTGTTCCTAGAGATCTGTGAATAGATCTAAAAAGTCATGACGTTATGATGGGTAAGAATGATTGCTGTTGTTGCTGCTGTTGTTGTGTGTTGCTGAGTGGGAACCAAACCATAGCTGACCATCCAGTGGGTATTCACAGGCAGTAAATCACACAAGAAGAGACAAGAGACTGCCCAATCTTTTCCCACAGAGCAGTGTCTGGATGAACTGTGTGCCTTTGGGATTGTAGTGCAGCTTCTTACCAGTAGGCCACTAAAGCTCCTGAGAAAGGTAGACAGTTGTTTGAAAAAGCTATAAAAATGATGTTAATTATAGAACAGAGTTCAGTTCTTTTGTGCAAGGGTTGCTATGAATCATATTCGACTTGACAACACTTAACCACTACTGTTGTTATATTGGGAGGAACATTCTTCCACTTTGGACATCACTCTGTCAATGTGCTGTATGAAGGAATCTGAGTTTACTATGATGCTGAACTTTGTGCCATCGTGATATCAAATACCATAATGGTTTCCCAAAGTGGACAGTGTTTGGTGGAGCTCCCAGATGTAAAACAGGTTTGGAAGCAGGAGTGACAGCCAATTCCTAAATCACATGCCTCTGGAAACTCTATGAACTTGGAGAAACAATAATAGTTATAGAAAGGCATTAGGTCTTTTGTTCATAGAGTCCCTATGAGTCGTGCTCGACTTGACGGCAAGCAATGTGAAACGGAGTCCTAGTAAAGATTGAGAGTCTGGTGATGTGACTCCAAAGAACATTGTGACTAGAACTTTATAACATAGGTATTATTAGATTTGCTGTTTCATAGTTTGAATAGTCAATCCAACATTTCATCGAACAATCAAAGAGTTATAAGAGCACGTAGAACAAACCATTTGAACTTGTTGCATCGAAACCTCTTCTCAGTCCACAGCAGTTGCTCCATGGTTAAAATTTTTCTCTATTACCAAGGATGAAAAGGGCGGGGGGTGGAGACCATGTATAAACTTATGGGAGTGTGTATCAATGTACTTGAATCTTCTATATTATGTTAATCCTATCACAGAGAAGACACCAAATAAAGAATGAGGGTCCTCCTTTTTTTTTTTCTCCTTGTCTACACTAGGTGACTAATTCCACATAAATAGGCAGGGTAGACAGTCAAGGGAAAAGTTTCACAAAGAAAGTAATAATTTTAGCCATAAGGCAGAACAAATCTATAATGGGCTAATAAGAGTATCTACCACTTAATGAGGATGTATACCACTATATTTTATGCTTCACTGACATTTTTACCTACTTTCAAATTTTTTTTTTTTATGAGTTATATTGGATCAGAATTTACTCAAAGCTGACCCTCCAGTGGTTTTCTGAAGCTGTAGCTCACATAGGGGGATACTATGTTTCATTTTACCACACAGCCTCTGAATGAGTTAAACTGCAAGACAGGAATAATTCCCTACAGACCTTGCCACAAGAGCTCATATTTTTTTTAATGGTGCCAATTTTAAATACATCTTTATTTGAGACATTGCATTTTGCACTTACAATACAGTGATAATAAAGTGCAATGTTAATTCCTTTCCCTCTACACATTCCATATTCAAGTATTGAGAATGCACAGAAATTTAGTCTAGCAGTTTAGACTTTTCAACTGCAGTGTGCTACAAATTTGGGTCCTTCAAAATTTCTTAACTGTGGGACAATGAATGCTATAAAGTATGCAGATTGCTTTAGTCAACCTCTTCAATGGTGGGTCCAGAAGAGGCACCACCAGATGGAGGAGCTCCACCACCAGGGAAGCCACCAGGCATGCCTCCGGGCATGCCTCCAGCACTCTGGTACAGCTTGGTGATGATGGGGTTGCAGACCTTCTCTAGTTCCTTCTGCTGATGCTCAAATTGCTCCTTTTCTGCAGTCTGATTCTTATCAAGCCAGTTGATAATTTCATTGCACTTGTCAAGGATCTTCTGCTTGTCCTCATCATTGATCTTGCCTTGAAGCTTTTCATCTTCAACTGTTGCTTTCATATTAAATGCATAAGACTCAAGGGAATTCTTAGAAGACACCTTATCTCTTTGCTTCTCATCTTCAGCTTTGTACTTCTCAGCCTCCTGGACCATTCGTTCAATGTCTTCCATACTCAAGTGGCCCTTATCATTGGTGATGGTAATCTTGTTTTCTTTCCCAGTGCTCTTGTCAACAGCAGAAACATTAAGGATACAACTGGCATCAATATCAAATGTGACTTCAATCTGAGGAACACCACGAGGTGCAGGTGGTATCCCAGTGAGTTCAAACTTGCCAAGCAGGTTGTTATCTTTGGTCATGGCATGCTCACCTTCATAAAACTGAATGAGTACACCAGGCTGGTTGTCAGAGTAGGTTGTGAAGGTTTGCGTCTGCTTGGTAGGAATGGTTGTATTCTGCTTGATGAGGACAGTCATGACTCCACCAGCAGTTCCAATACCAAGAGAAAGTGGAGTGACATCCAGGAGCAGCAAATCTTGAACATTTTCAGATTTGTCTCCAGAGAGAATGGCCGCCTGGACAGCTGCACCATAAGCAACAGCCTCATCTGGGTTGATACTCTTGTTCAACTCCTTTCCATTGAAGAAATCCTGAAGAAGCTTCTGAATCTTGGGAATTCTGGTAGAACCACCCACCAGGACAGTATCATGGATCTGTGACTTATCTAGCTTAGCATCCCTCAGAGCTTTCTCCACAGGGTCCAGAGTGCCACGGAAAAGATCAGCATTCAATTCTTCAAAGCGGGCTCGGGTAATGGAAGTATAGAAGTCGATTCCCTCATACAGTGAATCTATCTCAATACTGGCCTGGGTGCTGGAAGAAAGTGTGCATTTTGCATGTTCACAAGCAGTGCGGAGGCGTCTGACAGCCCTCTTGTTTTCACTGATGTCTTTCTTATGATTGTGCTTGAACTCTGCAATGAAATGGTTGACCATTCTGTTGTCAAAGTCTTCTCCACCCAAGTGGGTGTCTCCAGCTGTAGACTTGATCTCAAATATCCCATCTTCAATAGTGAGGATTGACACATCAAAAGTGCCACCTCCTAAGTCAAAGATGAGCACGTTCCTTTCAGCACCTACCTTTTTGTCCAGACCATAAGCAATAGCAGCAGCAGTTGGCTCATTGATGATTCGGAGGACATTGAGGCCAGCAACGGTTCCAGCATCTTTGGTAGCCTGGCGCTGAGAGTCACTGAAGTAGGCTGGTACAGTGACAACAGCATTGGTAACAGTCTTCCCAAGGTAGGCTTCTGCAATTTCCTTCATCTTTGTGAGAACCATAGAAGACACCTCCTCTGGATAGAAACTTTTGGTCTCTCCTTTATATTCTACTTGGACCTTGGGCCTGCCTGCATCATTCACCACCATGAAGGGCCAGTGTTTCATATCAGACTGCACAACAGCATCATCAAATCTTCGTCCAATGAGACGTTTGGCATCGAATACTGTGTTAGTAGGATTCATTGCAAATTGATTCTTTGCAGCATCACCAATCAGTCGTTCAGTATCGGTAAATGCGACATAGCTTGGCGTGGTCCGGTTGCCTTGATCATTTGCAATGATCTCCACTTTCCCATGCTGGAAGACCCCTACACAGGAGTAGGTGGTGCCAAGATCAATGCCAACCGCAGGGCCCTTGGACATGGTTGCTTAGTGAAAGTCCCAGGTGGTGGAGAGGGGAAAAAACAGTACCTCAAGTCCTCCGCTGCACTAAATGAGCAAGAGCTCATATTTTTGAGGGTGTTTTGTTGTTGTTTATTATTATCTTATAAAGAAATTTTTGAACCATAATTACTACTGTATATATCTACTCATAAAACTATCAAACACTGGTTAAGAATATAATTTGTTATCCATCATCTCATTTGATTCTCAGTAATTATATGAGAGAGATTATTATTTCTGGTTTCCAAGTGGTAAACTAAAACTCACTATCATCAAGGTTGCCTGAGTTGAGGCTACACCACTGTATGCCATGCCTATCTTGATCTAGAAATCAAGAAGTGGGAGACTGATGAGATGTGAGCAACTAAAGAAAGTAACTAAAACTACTTTTTTTTTTTTAAATGAAAGACATGAATATGTTAAGATGAACAGTCAAGCACCTGGCCTACCTTAGGAGGTTACTGTCTTACTGTCTTTGCTTTCCATTACTCTGCTTTCCTCTATGCCACATAGGCAATGATGGACAAAATCGGATAGAAATTGAGGTCAATTTAGTCATCTTCACAATATTGGTCTTTTATTCTCATTTCATTCTTTCCCTCCCATAAACTTTTTAGTTTCACAATTCATAATTTATGTTTTGAGAAACAAATGATTATAAAAATAATATTCTCTGCAAGGTGTTTAACCCAAATGCTTTTTAGTGTCTTTCCTCTGCTACTCTCCAGAATATTGAGTTTCATCTAAGCCAGAAAATCTGATTTCTGAAGGCCCCCTTTCCATGCCTTTATCTACACACCTTTCATTGACCTAAATCGGATTTGTGTGCAGAAGAGCAACACAAGTGAGGCTCAGTAAGTCTTGTCATCTTTTTGTTAAGCTTCCCAGGTTGCCAATTATCAATTCTGTGCACTTAGGGTTGTTCAGGACACACCACATTAAACTGAACAGAATGTCCTAGTTAATGATAACCCATTCAAATATGTAGAGGGATTCCTGGAAAGTTTGAAGCCAATGAGGTAAAGCTTAAACTAGAATGGAAAAGCAAAGAAAGGGAATGGAGCAGAGAGACAAGAGAAAGAGCGAGAGGGAGAATGAGACATATAGGAGCATCTGAGGATTATGGTTTCTTTAGAAGTATGTAATGGGGGGGGGAGGCTGAGAAATAATCCCTTGATATGATTTATGGCCAGGGGGAATCTGGAACCATTTAAAATCTGTCATGGAGAAATCTGGGACTCCCATTTTCCAGACAGTTCTTTGAGTTTGATCATCGGAACAGTTTTTTTAGGAGAATGATTGTGTGGCTGGAATGATGGGCTAAATCAGTCAAACAAGCCCATCTGGAAGATGATGTAGAACCAGTCAAAATAATACATTCTCTCTGCAAATGAAAACATATTGTTTCCATTGGCCATTTACCATTTATCAAATACTGCATGGAACTAAGTAATCTCTGTGAAATAAATTTACATCCAAAGACAGAAAGCAAGGGAAGACATGTCAGCACTTCTACTGCTAACTCTTCATCATCGTGTTTAAATACTGACTCCTGGAATCCTTAAGAATATAATGCTATAACCCTATGTTGACGTCATTCAGAAAAATCAAACAAGTCACACAAAATTCCAGTACTGAGTTTGATCACTGGGAGATGAGATAATAGCATTAAATCTTTTATAGCTGGGATTATACAGAGGAAGTTAAAGTAACAGACTTCCTTGTGATCAAGGTTTCCATTTCTCTGGTGGCTAATAGCCAAGAAATTCCTGGTCAGAAAAGAGGATAGTATGAGTTTATATAAAATACTAACACAATGTATCAGAGAGCTAGACAAAGACTAAGGATTACAGAAGAAGAGTGGTGGTGTGGGAGAAGAATGATGAACATACCATTAATAGTCAGGAGAACAAATAGGTCTGTCCTGAAGAGGGTGAAACCAAGTTTCTTCTTGGAGGCAAGGATTTTTTTCCCACCCTAACTGTATTTATTAATTAATTGTCCTCTGCATTCTTTGCCAATATCCTCAGTAAAGGCAATAGATTTGTCTTACTTACTGATCACCCTTACATAGCAATCTTTACACCAGAGAAAACACTCATCTGAGATAACAGTTTTTTGATAACATGGTTCTGGGCTTCCAATGTTATTGCTCTTGGGATTCCCCAGACTTTCCCTCCTAGCCTAATAATGTCCTCCATCTCGCATACGCTGGGCATGTGGCCTGGAAGGACCACTCCTTGGGGAAGGACATCATGCTCAGAAGGGTGGAGGGACAGTACAGGAGAGGAAGATCCTAGATGACATGGATTGACATGGTAACTAGGGGGCAGGGGAATGGGTAAGGTGTGTCCGAGTCAGTGAGACTGGTTCAGGATAGGGTAGGCTTCAGAGCTGCTGTACATAGGGTCAGTATGAGTCACAGGTGACTTGACAGCACATAACAACATCATCATATAATATATGGGGAGCTCTGGTTGCCTTGTGGTAAGATAAAAGGATATAAATAACAACCGCAGCAGCATACAGTATCTATAGTATTTATCTCTTAAATACAGTGAAAAGGTGCGTATTTAGTGTGAACATATATTACATATGAAACACATACACACACAGAAAATACCATCAAATATACAAAGTTTATCATCTTTACACTACATGTAAATATGATTGATTGAATGTTCTGTGCTGTGACACCTGACAAGTAATCACACTGAGTGGTCACTGAAGTATTAATTACCATGTTTTTGCATGCAGTGCTCAAACACACCTCCTGCTCAATTCTTCCTGTGGAATAACAGTTCTAAGAATCTCCTGCCCACAAGTCTTTTGGAAATGGTGCCTTGCAGCTAATATTTCTTAAACAAAAATAATTTTCTTTTCCCAAAAAATGTCTTGTTCTTTCAGTCTTTATTGATTCCCATCATCTAATTCCGCACAGGTAAGGAGTTTTACCTGACTTGTTCACTAGTGTGTTCCCAGGGCCTGAACCCATCTCAGATGCATAATAGGTGCTTACTGAATAGGTAATGAAAATCTAGATAGATGGAAGAAACAGAGCATTAATACTACCCTTCTCCCTCATCTGGGGACTCATTTCCAATGCTCCCTTACCAGTTACATGCTAATCCTTGTCATTCCCTTCTTATAGTTTTTGTTTTTTTCATTTGCTTACTTCAATAAGGGAGATGCAAATGCCTGATGAGCCATCACAGCTTTAGGGTAATTACTCCTTTCAACTTCTGCCTTCCAGTTCTCCGGCTGGGGTTCTCTCTCTCTCACAGCAAGTTAACAGGCTGAATTGGCCCAGTTGCTTTCAGAATGTCCCTCTGCATCATTTCCATGTTCATTAGAGTGATACTTCCTGAAGCATTGTTGTACGTATGTTATGTTGCCTTTCAACACTCTGAACGAGACGCTCCATGTAGACTATGAGATTTCAAAACAATCAAGACTACCCATTCTCAGAAATCTAGCTTTATACCTCTATTTCCTATGCATTTCCTTTGTTCTGTCATGGTGGAATCTAAGACAATGTTTAGAAGACACATTTATTACTGTATGCTCCTCTAAGAGGTATGGTATATCCTTCCTTGATGATATGTCTTTCTCTACATGCATTTTTCTTTTTAAAATTAAGGGTAAACCACAGATGAATAGAAATGAGTGCTACTTCCTATATAGCTTCACAAACCTTATTCACCCGTCAAATGCTCTCTTTAGCCCTACAAACATCTTCTCTAGCTGACTTCATTTTAGTTGTCTCAGGCCTGTGGGAAGAAATCTAACAGCAAGTTAGGGGGAAATGAGGAAAATCAGAGCTTGTGGATAAATCTTAGAAATGTTGGAAAAAATACATCTTAAAACTAAACTCCAGAGGCAAAAACTGCAGTATTTATACACTAACTCCTGAAATTTACTGATTGAGGGCTATAAGGAATGAGGGAAGATGTTAATTCCCAGTCAGTCCCATCTGTCACAACTCAAGAAGTAGTTCTCAGTTGTGGAAACGGAGATTCTGAAAAAGTCAAGGTATAAGTAATACTAAAAGAGTCCCGGTGGCATACTGTATAAAGTGTTGGGCTGCTAAGCAAAGGTCAGTTGTTCAAATCCAACAGCTGCTCTTATGGAGATAAACAGGTAACTTCCTTCCATAATGATTTACAAAAACCAGATGGAGGGTTGCTATAAGTCAAATTCAATTCAATAGTAATGAATTTGGTTTTTCAAGCAATACTAAAGGAAACCTAATGGTTAAGCACTTACTTGCTAACAGAAAGGTCAGCAGTTTGAACCTACCAGTTTTTCGACATGACAAAAAGAGGTCGTTTTCTTCCATGAATAGTAGAAATCCTAATAAGGAAATCCTACAAAAATTCTCATCACTGGACGCATAGGCAACATCACAGTAGATGGAGAATGATTGAAACTGTCAACAATTTAATCTTGCTGGGATCCACAATCAATACACTTGGTACCTGTAGTCAAGAGATGAGGATATATATTACACTGAGAGGTCATGGACCTCTCCAAATTACTGAGGAACAATGATGTCAGTTTGAGGACTAACGTGTGCCTGATTCAGACCACGGTCTTTACAATCCCTTGCTATGCATCTGAAATCTGGACAATGAATAAGAATGACACAAGAATTTATTCCTTAACCTGTGGTGCTGGAAAACAGTACTGAATATCCCATGGACAGGCAAAAGAACAGCGAGATAGGTCTTGGAGACAGTGCAGCCAGAGTGCTCATTAGCAAGAATGATGAGAAAGCTTCATTTCACATACTTTGAGCATATTGCTATGAAAGGGTATTCCTTGGAGAGGGACATCTGGGCTTGAAAAGGTAGAGGGACAATATGAGAGAGAAAGATCCTCAACAAGATGGACTGACACTGACACAATGACTGCAGCAATGGAATCAAGTGTTTCAGAGATGGTGAGGATGGCACAGGATAGGACAGGGTTCAGATCTA